AGCATCTGGGCCTTTACTGTTGTCATCTTCCACTTTCTCACTTTAAAACAATCATAGTAAAAATCATCTACTGCATTTAAAACCAGGGAAGTCATATACAACTGTGGAGAGTGGGTGGGACGTGACTTGCAAGTCATTGCTCTGATCATATATTTGCAACTTCTCGGCGTTCTCATGGGGACTGGGCACAGTGCTCAATGGATACTATAATAAAACAAAGAGAAATTGAGATATTGGTACTCCACAGCTGTAGTTCTAACCCAAATGATAACATTCCATATTAGCCCTAAATCACTTCACTGCACATCTGTAAGTGTGCTCTTTACCCCTGAGTTCAGCCTTCAATTGGTAGGGGTAATGAGACAGATCTGGATCAATCTCTATGAAGAGGTACTGTGGGAAGGAAGGAACTTTGTCTAACTCATATGCCCATCAAAGTGCTAGTCAGAATTGCAACCCCTGCACTTCACAGTGAAGGGAACAGCAATGAATAAGTCCCTGAAGGTGTTTAGCAGTATATATAAGGCTGGTGAGAGAGGGTGGGCAAGGGGAGACAATGATATTGGAGCCCTGACCTCAGACACATTCCCTGACCCCCAAATATCTGTATCATCTGCATAAACAAAGAGAACTAGGATAAGGTGAGGCCCCAACAAACATTTTGTTCTCAGGCTCCAAGGAGGCATTCCATCTGAGGCAGGGTGCCTTCCTGTACTCTCAGAGGCAGTGTAACATAAGAACATAAGAACGGCCGTACTGGGTCAGACCAAAGGTCCATCTAGCCCAGTATCCTGTCTACTGACAGTGGCCAGCACCAGATGCCCCAGAGAGGGTGGACCGAAGACAACGATCAAGCGATTTGTCTCCTGCCATCCCTCTCCAGCCTCTGACAGACAGAAGCCAAGGACACCATTTTATCCCCTGGCTAATAGCCTTTTATGGACCTAACCTCCATGAAATTATCTAGCTTCTCTTTAAACTCTATTATAGTCCTAGCCTTCACAGCCTCCTCTGGCAAGGAGTTCCACAGGTTGACTACACGCTGTGTGAAGAAGAACTTTCTTTTATTAGTTTTAAACCTGCTCCCCATTAATTTCATTTGGTGTCCTCTAGTTCTTCTATTATGGGAACTAATAAATAACTTTTCTTTATCTGCCCTCTCCACACCACTCATGATTTTATAGACCTCTATCATATCCCCCCTCAGTCTCCTCTTTTCTAAACTGAAAAGTCCCAGTTGCTTTAACCTCTCCTCATATGGGACCCGTTCCAAACCCCTAATCATTTTAGTTGCCCTTTTCTGAACCCTTTCCAAGGCCAAAATATCTTTTTTGAGGTGAGGAGACCACATCTGTACACAGTATTCAAGACGTGGGCATGCCATAGTTTTATACTGGGGCAGTAAGATATTCTGGGTCTTATTTTCTATCCCTTTCCTAATGATTCCTAGCATCCTATTTGCCTTTTTGACTGCCGCTGCACACTGCGTGGAAGTTTTCAGAGAACTGACCACGATAACTCCAAGATCTCTTTCCTGATTTGTCGTAGCCAAATTAGCTCCCATCATACTGTACGTATAGTTGGGGTTATTTTTCCCAATGTGCATTACTTTACACTTATCCACATTAAATTTCATTTGCCATTTTGTTGCCCAATCACTCAGTTTGGTGAGATCTTTTTGGAGTCCCTCACAGTCTGCTTCTGTCTTGACTATCCTAAACAGTTTATCATCCACAAACTTTACTACCTCACTGCTTACCCCTTTCTCCAGTCTTACATTTAATGCAGAGCTGTGGCTAAATGATACTGTTGAGCCTGTAAGGCTTGCTCCTGTTCCCACTGAAACTACTGTGAAAACTCCCATTAACTTCAGCTGGAACAGGTTCATGTCCTTCAAGAGTGATATTATACCATCCACTTATAAAAGGCCCAGCAGTACAAAGAGTTGGGAAATGAAAGGACAAGCACCAGGAATGAGGGTACTGAATGCCATTTTATAGTAGCTATCTACCAGCTTTCATCTGATTATAATGCATAGGATTCATCCCTTAACTTCTCGCTCAAGTTATGTTTATTTTATTGTCTAAAATAGACTACATTTCAGTTCTTTAAACTTTTAGTGGAATTAGATGCTTAGGGGAATAATCCTGATTGACCCAAAGGATTTTTGGGTAGCACATAGGCATATAAATCAGGGACCCTTATTTTGGACACAATGGCTGTGGAAAAGTAGATAAATAGAACACTGAGATTTGATTTGTCTTCTTATAACTGTTTTATTATGATTGCTATCTAAACCATTTTGATTTCAGGCTAAGCCTACCATTGCACTTCAGTATAGACAAGCTAAACAAAAATGTTGGGAAGAAGCAAAGCTAATATGGCTGCAATATATCCTGAATCATGTGTGATAGAAGGATCAGCACAGGGCTGAACAGTATATTTAAACACCAAAAAGGATCTTAACAATGAATGCACCTTTTGTAATTTTACTTGCCTATCAGTCATTATTGTGTTAAGTTTGAGAAGATAAGGGGGTACATGTACAGGGCCAAAGAGATAGCTGGATTCTCCTTCAGCGTGGGAGGGGTAAGATCTGAGAGCCAATATAATCATCATTAATATGATAAATTTATTTACTTATTTTATGAACTGCAAGAGCACCTAGGACACTTAGCCATAGATCAGTTCCCCACTGTGACACACACTGTACAAACAAAGA